TTTGTCTGATAATCAAATTTACAGTTTCTTGGTCACTATATCTTCGCTATTACATTATGTTACATATGTTATGTTCCTTCATTAACTGAATTATCATCCTGTTCACAATTTGGGCATGATTTAGAGTAATTATTTCTGATCATTTGAGAGAAATTGTTTCACAGTGTGGATTTCGCTTCTCATGCACAACTAATAGAAATATTTTTAGTTAAATTTGATTTCGATGTACGAATTTCATATATATACGTAATTTGAGAATATTTACTACCAATTTATTGTAAATATTAACTATAAATTAACAGATGGTGTGTAATTCATTGTGACCTTACTTTGTTGCTGAATTTATGATGTGAGTTCTCTAATTTTAATTTATTGTGACCAATATTAATTCATCTATCTACATTTGCCAGAATGAAATGAATGGACATTCAATGTTTCCAATTCTGCGAATTCAAGCTTATTTTGGATTACATAGTTGTGTAGAATTTCTGCTTCGAGTGCATCAACGGTGTTATTTTCAAACTTGTGACTTTCATATTGTGATCATTGTTGTTATTTATAATATTCAAACTTGTGACCTTCATTTTTGTGATTAGTGTTATTTTCTGTGATCAATGGTGTTATTTGGACCAATGTTGTTATTTGTGACCTTCTTATAAGTGTAGTATATTCAATTTGTAACTCGTTCGTACTTTCTGACCATCATTTGTAACATTTTATGTTTTCTGACCAATGTTGTAATCTGTGACCATTGCGGTTATTTGTGACTAGTACAGTTATTCTTGAAAGGTCACAAGTTGTAAAATGTGGAAGGCGCGGTGGATTCGACCACAACTTACAACAACATGGTGCCACTTAATCGAAAAAGAGAAAATTGAGTGGGAAGAAACAACGAAAGGTGGTCACATATAGGGATATCAATGAGTCGAGCCAGCTCGCGAGCCGAAACTTGTGACTTGGGCTTTGCTCGAGTAAAAATGGTTCAGGCAATTTTTGGAATCTAGTCTCGATCCAAGCTTTAGGCTCGGGATTTATCGAGCTGAGTTGAATCAGCTCACTTTTTTTTAATAAAAACACAGGACGCTACATATAAAAAGCAACAATAGTTGCTACCAGGTGCATTTTTCTTTCTTTTTTTAAGGGTGAACTCGTTATGGGCCAAAAATGACCCCTGACACGAGTCAGGCTTAGGTTCGGCCCGAAGTCCCAAAATGTTGCTCGGCCCAATCCTCGGGCTCGATCGTATCGAGCTAGCCACCGGCTCGAGGTTTTTTTTTAGCCAAGCATTCGCCTTGAATCTATGAGCCAAATTGATATCCCTAGTCACATAGTACATCAATTTGTGTAATAACATAATACTTGCAATAATATGGTGCAACTTAACCATATAGAAGGAAAATTGAATGAAAAAACATCAAAAGATTGTCACATTGTACAATAGCTTGTGTAAAAGCGGCATGATATTCTTTTGTACTTCATCCTTTGAATGTGCCAAATCCTCATTCGTTAGCCAGGGGGAAACCATCCACCAGTCACCATTCTTCCCACCTTAAACCACCACCGGTCCCTAATTGCATCTGTTTTTTTATTTCTTTCTCCATTTTAACTCTGCCTTCATTGGAGAGTCTCAAGCTGTAGTTGTTGAGATTGGTTAATTTAGTAGGAAAAAAAGCAGTGATGGTGGGTTGGCGGTGATGGGTATGGATTTGATATAGAGGTGGTGATGTTCGTTTTAGATTTGATGTGGATGTGGTAGTAATATAATGGCAAGTCTCCTGTTATTGTAGTTATTTGGCGTTGATTTATCTTGTTTGAATATATTGTTTGTTGTGGGTAGTTTTTTTATAAGACATGTTGTGGTGGTGTTAGCAATGACAGTAGTGGTGCAGGTGCTGGTTGTGTTGCTGGTGTTTGGATTGGGTTGAGGTTGTATGGACACAGTTTGTGACCAATAAAATAAAAAATTTGTGAATTGATGCAATGACCCGTGTCTTGTGCAAAATGACCCGTGACATGTAAATTGATAACATGTTACATGTCCTTGTGCACTTGTTACAGGTCACATATCACATATTTATATTCATAGGTCACTATTACTTGGTTACATATTATAGTTTACAGGTTACGGTTATAGTTCACAAGTCATAGGTTATATTGTTTAGGTCACAGATGTTCACATGCTATAGTTTACAGGTTAATATTAATTGGTCGCATATTATATAGGTCACATATATTCATACATCATATGTTATAGTTCATGGGTCAATATTAATTGGTAACATGTTATAATTCACAAGTCCAACTTATAGTTCACAGATCAGAAGTTATATTGTATAGGTTACTAGTTATAATTCATTGATCACAGGTCACCATTCATAGGTCACTGATCCAAGAGAATTGGTTACAAGTTATTGGAACAATTTCACATGCAACAGATTAAGTAAACTCAAGAGAATTGATCACATGTCATTGATTTTTTGGAACTGGTCACAAATTCAATTAACCAAATTTCAGTAGTTAGAATTGAAGTTATTTGATCTGGTGAGTATTTTATAAATTACACCTGAGGCTGTTTTTCAATTTTTAATTTTAAAAAATAGATTTAAATTACATCAGCATTGCTCAATTGTTGCTGATGAAGATGATCAGTCGCCAATGAGGTTCAATCAATGTTCTTAAAAAATGGTTTGTTTTTCCCACTCTCTAGTGTCTGAGTCGAAGATTCTCAGTTGTCATAGAGTGGCGTTCAGTTTGCCATTGAAAAAGATGCTCAATCGTCGACAATCTCTATAGATTCTTTCTTTCGGCGAAGTTATTTAGATGTTGGTGATTGCGAGAGTGGTTGCCGACGATTCCGATTTTTGACAACTGTAAAAGGGACGGAGACAGGCGGATATCGGTAATTATAGCCTAAACAGGAGAGAGATTGGTATTATTTTATATATCATTTTTTATTTAATTAATAAAATTTAATTATCACTTGAGTTTTGAAAATATAAACTTGTTATCTTAAAATTGAATTAACCTAAATTTAAGGCCTGAGATATGATTTTTTCCTGGGAAAGACTACATAACTACAACATTATAAAAACACATTTCATAAATAACAAACTCATTAAAATATTTTCAAAAATTGGGTGGTAAATATATTTATTAAATATTAAACTACAATATAATATGCATTAATTATTTCCACTCCATGCCACCTCACTCACCCCATCCTCTCACCCCACTACACTACCTTCCCTTCACCTCTCCATCGGAGATAGCTATCAGCTTCCGCAGTCACTTCGGCGACTGCTCAAGCAACAGCTCCAGCGACTGGTCCGACGACTGCTCCGACAAACTGTTGTGACGAACGCTCCAGCGACTACTCCAGCAACTATTCCACCAATTGTTCCGGCTCCGGTGATAGAAAAATCTCCAAAAATTGTGATGGTTGTAGTGGTGCATTATAGTTATAAAATTTGCAACCGTGTTATCTGTGACCATACATGTGTTATATGTGTCCAATTCGCTGACTTATGTTATCTGAGAATCACCGTGACCAATTTTCCCTTCGGTGTAACTAATTGTGACCAAATTTGTATTCAGTGTGACTTCTGTGACCAGGTCAATCTCAAGTCACAATCGGTCACAATCAATACAAAATTGGTCACAAATAGTCACAAATAGATCTCGAACAGGAAAAACCAGATATCCAACAACCACGACAAATCTATTCTGAAAAATAATAACCACCACCACTACTAACATCTTTAACTTAAATTGATAACTATAAATACTACATTCATCTCAAATCCACACCAATCATCGCTACCGTAACTTCTACCAACCCTTCAAAAAACACCAACCAACACCACCACACTTCTCTTGTGAAACTTCAGTGAGAGACATGGTAGGTGGTCAGAATTTAGAGGGTGGGTGGGGAAGAAGTCGTATATCTAATTTTTGGGTAAGAGACTGTCAACTAATTTTTGGGGGAAGAAATAGATTGTAAAGGTTAAAAATTGATACAAGATCTGGGGTAAATTGATATGGGGTCTGTGACCAAGTTTGTATTCAATGTGGCTGTTTGTGACCAGATAAATCTTAAGTCACAACCGGTCACAATCAACACTCACAACCAGTCACAACCAGATCTCGAACAGGAAAAAAAAAAAGACCTCCAACCACCACAGCAGATCTGTTCGAAAAAATAATAACAACCACAACTACTAACATCTTTAACTCAAATCCATAACAACAATTATCACTACCTTAACTTCGACCAATACCTTCAAAAACAACAACCAATTGATTACTGAATATTTCTCAATAAAGATTTCCAGGATTCTTCTTCAGTTATCTCTCGAAAAGATGAGGAAGATTATGAGAGAAAAGCCGTAGATCTGATTGTTCTTCACCATATGGACTCCACGTTCACATTTGATTTTCTTCTCCTCACAGATTGCTTCTGCTTTAGGTAACCCATGTACCGTATTGGCACTTCCCCCAAATCTAAGCTTATCAGCTTTCAAAGAAGAGATTTGTGCGAAACTCCGACAAGAGAAATAGCAGGTGGCTAGAATCTAAAGGGTGGGGATGGGGATGGGGATGAGGGTGGGGAAGAAGCCACCGATGAGATTTTTGGGTAAGAGAGTGCTGATCAATTTTTGGGGAAGAGAGGGAGTGTGTGTGGGTTAGAAAATGAATCGGGGTGTGGTGTAAAAGAAGTGGTCAAGGGTGGTAGAGCAGGTGAGTGTAATTAATTAATTTAAAAATTAGTATTTATCACCTGACTATTGAAATTTAATCTTTCACCTACTTATTTTAGAAATGTAATCTCGAAAAGAAGGGATCTAGATAATTTTCCCTTTTTCCCTTTATAAATTTTGATGTATATGTAGTACAACCGAAAAATTATCTCGTTAAGTGAACTCTTTAACAACAATAATGTAGGCCCAATAATCATTTAAGCCCACTCTACACCAAATCCCGGTAAAAGCCCAATCCATACTGAAAAACCCTAATTACCTCAGCCATCCAAGTATATAAATACTACAACGAGGATTTACCAGCAATTTTGAACCTCCATCTTTAATTCGCTCATGGTAATTTCTGTTTGTCTAGAACAGTAATAAATGCTTCGTATATGATCTGTAGTAAATATTGATGTTGAAATTTGTTATTATTAAAAGGGAAAGGGAACCGGAAGTTTTGGTAAGCGAAGGAACAAAACTCACACACTGTGTGTGAGATGCGGCCGCCGCAGCTTCCACATCCAGAAGAGCCGTTGCTCCGCCTGTGCTTACCCCGCCGCACGCATAAGGAAATGTACGTGTTTATGTTTCTGCTGTGATTTTGTCAGTTATGAAGAGAATAAAAAAATACGTTTCAATTTGTGAATCGGAATGGAAGTTGAAGGACATACTTTTTTAATTTGGGAATTGAACTAGGGAAAGCTACTTAATGATTATAAGAGCAGAGGTGGATATTTTGACATTCGACTGTGCACCAAAAGCTCATATTATGGGTAAAGTAAAAACTTTACTAAATTATGTGATTGCACCTATGGCAAATGACCTAGAATTTTCGAAGGACAATGTTTCTGGAGTATTTTTGTATTTGACTAACCGAAAAATGTAGATTCACGCACACTATTATAGGGCTGTAGGATTTGTTAAATTTCATGAACTGGGGTTTTAGATTGAATAAAATGAATTTAAGCTTGCTATCCAGTTGGCAATATCTGTTCTTTTCCAACTGGATTCTTTCCCCTAAAGCAAAAGTGAGCCTGTCATAATTTTACCAATCTATGTTATCTTAGCTAATTTAATTGCATATTTGATATTCATGATTTGATATTTGTTGCCTATGGAAGTACGGAACAACAGTGATGATTCATACAGACCTGTAATGATTTGCGAGCATGATCGCAAGCAATAATGAACATCTAAGGGACTGAGTTGTTCACCATCTTCATCAATCCTATTTTTTGTTTTTGGAATATCTTGAAATATCAGGGATGTCTATATTTTGGAATCTATATTACAATGATACTTAATATAAAATTATGGATTGCTTAAAGCTTTAAACAGTTTTTAAAATATGCAGTCACTCATTTGAGAATGAGAACTCTGTAGGTGGTAACTAAGTAGAAAATAAACTGAAAAGGGTCAAAAAAATAAAAAGAACTGTATAAAAATTTTTTGACTGTGACTATCTGGTTGGCAGGATCGGCGTATTTCTGACCAACTCCTTCCCTGGAAGTGAGAGTGACTGTGTGCATCCTTGAGTTGCTTTTAGAAAACGCTGGGACAGCTATATTTATACAGTTACGCTGCTTTTTTCTTTTTATCTGATATATAATATATATTTTACTATTCTTGGCTCATAAATTCTCATGGTGTGTATAGAACAACTGTGATGAACTCTACAGACCTGTAATGATTTGCGAATATGATCGCAAGTTAATGAACATCTAAGGGACTGAGTTGTTTGTCAATTGTACACGCCAATCTTATATTTTTCTTTTTTGTCTATAATATTTGTGGCAGTTCTGTCTTTAAAAATACACTTGTGTTTTTTGCACTTTTGCAGAATTATCATTTTGATGATTGGTGATTTATTTAGTCTTTGTTTGATGGCCATTATTGAGAAAAAAAATGATATTTTGGATAGTGATTATTTGGAGAATGTGTGGTTAAAAAGTAGAGAAAAGTTTTGTGCTTGCGTGCAAAATATTTTATTGTGTGAATGTATTGTTGAAAATGAATATTAGAATTAAAGAGTTTTGGTTTAAAGGGAGCCAAACAGTGGCTTAATATATTAGCCTTCCGTTCATAGATAACTGGAGTGTCAAGGCTATACGAAGAAAGACCACTGGAACTGGTCGTATGAGATATCTCCGTCATGTAGCTGTTAGGTTCAAGAGCAACTTCAGAGAAGGTAAATGGAATTTGATTTTCCTTTTCATCTACATTTGTTATTTGAAAGAGTGTCAAGTTTATAATGTTGATTTGCAACGTATCTCTAACTGCTAGGCACTCAAGCACCTCCAAGAAAGAAGGGCGCAGCTGCTGCCTCCTAAGGTTTTGAAGGAAATCCCGAGTTTTTTTAGCATCTATGTATCTTTATTTTTGTGAGAGAATCGAGTTTTGGTTTATACAGTGTTGGTTATCAACCAGTGAAGATACTTCGGTTATCAGTATGCTTTTGGGTGATGATTGAGGTCTCAATGCAATCACAAATTGATTACAACGGAAAATGTTTGTGTTTTCTAATGGATGATCAAGAGTGTCATCACATTAATTTCACTCTATTTCAGCCACATTATTTTCTAAGAATGCATTTAGAAATAATAGATTGATTGAGAATGTGTGATTAAAAATAAGAATTTTTTTTGGATTTGCGTATAATATTATTTTATTGAAAACTGTGTGGTTGAAAATGAGAAAAATGTATTGGGTTATGCATGATGTCCATTAGGGTGTCCACCCTTCTCACATGGAAGAGGGCTCTTTTCGAATAAAATTTGTTATATTTGGAGTGGGCCCTCTTCCATGTTAGGGGAATGGACACCTTGATTTACATTTATTGATGTATATGTGGAATAATCCAAGTGTATTTTGAAAAAAATAAATAAATAAACAAAATGGGGGTTCAAACAATGGACAGTCAATTTTATTAGATAATATTGAAAACAATCTTTATGATATATTTCTAAATCTTTATTGACATTGCTATGTGCAATAACTGAATATCATTGAAGCCTAAGAAAAAAATTTAATAGTCCACAAGTATTTTAGCAATTACATTTCGAATATCTTCGTTTTTGGTACAAGGATTTTGTGATCATGTAGTAGTAAATTTGTACAACAATGAAACTACGTTAATGGTGCTAAATTAATACTCACATACTTAGTGTTTTTCGTAAGTGAGAAATAGTGTGTTACTCGCATGCATAGTGTTACTCCATAACAAAGAGGGTAACAAAATGTGTTACCTTGATTAATACTTGGATATGCATTTTATTTTTAACGTTTTGCTCAAGGAAAGATTACTTAAGCAAAAAAGATTACTTGGCATGTTACATGTATGGGAAGGGGTAATTACTAGCATGCATAAAGTGTTAATCGAATCAATCATGCTACATTATCACAATTATTGATATAATGTCATATAACGCTCTATCATTGAATTGTTTAAAACGCAGTCATCTTCTTCATCAAATCACTTTTTGTCACATAGAATTCTGTCAACTCTTATGTCACAGTTATATAAAAAAAATTTTAAAGGAGCTTAATCATAATCGAATTCATGAGATGGTAATATGATTTTTCTTATGTAAATGCATTGCTACTTGACCTTCACAGACGGGATAACATACTGTGTTACTTGCAATCATAGAGTGTAGCTTGCACTACTAACGAGATTACACGATGTGTTACCAAAGAGTGTTACGAAGTTTTTTTAAAAAAATAAAAATAAAATTGAGGTGATAATAAGTAATAACCACATGCAGTTTTGACATAATAAGCCACGTAACGTTTGAGCAAACACAGGAAATTCTTAAATCCAATAAATTGTCAATGATCCTTATCAAATTAATTACACAAAAGATTTTGCTAACCTATTATGTGTTATCCAACATCTTCTAGAAAGAATAGATTTTTTGGTACTGATTCTTTAATTATAATTATTTTATTTTATTATTATTATTATTTTTTTTCCAAAACTCATTTTCAATAGGACCATTCATCCTATATAATAATGTTATATGTAAATCCAAAAATTTTCTTTCTTTTTAAACATACATTCTTTAAAAAATTTGTTTTTCACAAAATCTATTATAGAATAATCTTCATCAAACAGACATTGAGCTATCAACATGAGAAACTAGACAACTTGCAAATAACAAAAAATCTACATCAATCCAAATTTTTTAACTTGGTATTTGACGTTTGATGCTACACCTGTAGAAGAAACTTCCATGTTAATGTTTTTCTATTAGTTTTGGTTTGGCTTAAAATATTTTGGTTAAGTTTAAAAGTTACTTACATTTTACTAAAGTGGTTTCTGTCAATAGACCATATCTTTGAAAATCATATTTTAATAACTTAACCCCTTATTCGGTCTCCATTATTTTTAAAATATTTTCTCTTTTATTTTTAACTAGAATAATGCTTGCGATACACCAAGATGTCCAACGGGGTATCCATCGACACCTCGTATTGGCCGAGGCGCCGGTGGGCCCCGGCGTGGCAGGCGCCTCGGCCAATGCCGAGGTGCCAAGTGTCCATTTTGGACACCCCCTTGGACATCACAATGTACCCATAGTATGATTATTTTAACTACACATTATTCAATAAAATAATATTACATGCAAATCCAAAATTTTTCTTTATTTTTTATCCACGCGTTTTCCATCAAAATATTATTCCAAAATACATTATTTTTAAAAAATGTGGCTTAAACAAGAAGTAACTAAATAAAAGTAGGTTATATACACATACTAGGATGTCCATAATGATGTCCACCCCCTTACATCGAAGTACTCACTTTAAATAATATATAATTTATTTGAAGAGAATCTCTCTCTCTGAGGATATCATTATTAATACTGCATTATGTACAAACAGCGTATTCCATTAAAGTAGGTTTGTAAATAAAATATCAGCCCCAGGCCGGAAAAAGGCAAGCTCGGAGGTAGAAGTAGCTTAGCAATTCATACATAGATGCATTTCCAGCAATGACACAGCAGTATGTCTGAAAAAGGGTAGGGATTCATGCTACTACACAAATGAAATTACATAAAATAAACAGCTAAATTTAAACCTGTCGGATATAGATAATTATAGAGATATATAGTAGTATATATTCATATATATGAGAACTGAGTAACAATCTCCACTAATATTTAGGAACCCACACGATGTGATCCTCAGGGAGGAAATGGCAGACCGGAACTGTCCCTGGTTTCACCTTCAGCACCTGAAAAGCCAAGTGTTTTGGGTTCCACGCCGCCGTATCCTTGTGACAAACGGCCACCGCTTTCACCTTGGTGCCGTCGTCCCCCACCATCGCCACCTTGTAAGACTCGGTGGTTTCCGTCTTGTGGCAGTAAAAAATGGCATATGGATACTTCACCTTGTGGCAAACTACTGCTTTCTTCTCGGACAGTTTCTTGACTCCAACAATTTTGTACATCTGCAATGGAGTTTCCTTCTCTGTCTCAGTCGAAACTGCCTCGACTTTTCGTCCCATTTTGGAGGTGCTGAAATCGACCATGGATTCCAAGGAAGTTGCGCAGTACTTTTCTTCTCCTTTTATCCCTTTCTCCTCGCATTCTTGGATAGTTTTCTTCATGATTTCAGCTTTTTCTGAACTGGGATTCACTAAAAATCTATCAAGAATTTGTGGAAACTTTTCGGATGAAAACGGAATTGAATCAGCAACTTGGCGAGGCAGAAAAGAAGCCTGATCATCTGAACTCTTAAAAAAATGCAATTTCATGTTGTTTCCTTTGTAAAGATCCTTTTCCAGGAAGAAAAGGGCTACATTTGGATCTTCATGGATCTGATTTTCTTCTGCTGCATAAATGTAACTAAAGGGATCTGCTCCTGGTTTTACTCCAACATAGACTGGTTTGCCTGATTTGGTAGGTGCTCCGACTACTACGCCGCCTTTGCCGACACCGACAGCGGTGCCTTTGTTTTCCATAAATTCTATAAAACATATTGGACGAAGTTAATAATAATAAACTTTTGGTTGGTTAAAGTTAAAAATGTAACTTTTTTTAACTTATAGTCAGTACATGTTAGAATACAAAGAGTATATTTGGATTAAGCTTAGCCAAACATAGTGCTGGAGCATATATATCTGAGCCTACAAATAATGAATCTAACTTTTTTCCAAAATTTATCTAGAAGTTAATTTTTTCTTTTATTGCGAAAATAAGTAACATGCGTATTTTTATAACTAAAACACATAGGATTCCGAGCTAACATAACTCGAGTAAAAACGTCTTTTAAAAGAAATGATTAGCACATGTATATTATAAAATAAATCACACAGCATGTTATATAATATCAGAGTTTATTAAGTTTCAACAAGCAATTCAATCTGATTAAAATTCAAAGCAAAAATGAGCTCACGAATTTCAGGATTGATTTGGTCAAACAAGCTACCATCATAAGGATATGTTAAAAAATAAATCCCACGTCGTATAAAAATGAAAACATAGATCAATAGAAAAGGGTTTGCACTACTCCTATAAACGAGATTAACTTTTAAGATGAATCCCAAGATATTATTATTATACACGCGAGTTCAAGACGAACCCGGGTTAAGAAGATCCTTCACAGATTTAGGCATGGGAGAGCTAGGCAGCACAGATCTCCAGTAATCATCCGGTGAAAATACAACTGCATGGCTTCCCACTAATGCCACCTGAAACAAATGCACAAATCATACACTTTAACTTCTTCATTAAGTACAATATATACACACACAAAATGAAAAGAAGTGCAAAATTTCTAGAGAATCGAGCTGTTATATGTTTTACTCACAGAAAGAAGTATAAAAATATGCTGAAACTTGAACTCCATTGGAGCTGTAATAAAGCGGCAGTACTGTTTTATACAGAAAACAAGGAGGGCTATAAGTTATAATGGAAGAAAGAGAGGTGAATTGTAGCCTTATTTATAACAAGAGAAAAGATTCTAGAATGAATTGATTTTTTTATTTTATTTTATTTTATTTTATTTTTGATACGTAGGTATTCACCTTATAGCGATAAATTCTGGGGCTTACGATCTAGCCCCTCTTCACGTAGATCAAATAAATTGCGGGTTGTGTCTCAAACTGGTTAGGGTCCAAGAACCCTTCCAACTAAACTGTCAAAGTGTCGAGCGAGTCAAACTCATAAATTGATTCTTGAATGTATATATGATGAACTAAGCAGCACACCGTCAATACTAATGAGTGATATGACAAGTATATTACCAACTGTATTTGGCAAACACAAATTCAATGCACTATCCATTGTAATTGTACCTTGTGGGGTAGCATTTGTTAAGGCAAACAAGAAACCACTTGGACTTCGATGGTTCCGTCGAATTATTGACGTGTAGGGCACGTTTGATAGGATTTTTGCAAAAAAATATTTTTTCAGATTAATAAAGGGACATTTGCAAAAAGACCAATTTTACATATGTTAATTCAAAAATGTCCACTTTTGATAATCTTTGCAAAAATGGCTAAATTTGATATCAAATTCTCTATTTTACCCTTAATGAAAGAATAACTAATTGGGAATGTTTGGGAAACAGAATGGCTGATCGCCCCCCGACAGAAATCGCACAATAGGTGGGGGTCCCATTTTTTTGTGCGAGACCCCCCTATTTGTGGGGTTTCTGTACCCCCTGTTTCCCAAGCATTTTTCAAAATAATTTCATATTACACATGTCAAATCACAATTAATGCTCGACTGTTGAGAACAACATTTAAATTGTAAAGAAATGTTATGTTCGGAATGAAATGTCATTCTAGACATTTAATATGTCGATAATAACGTTTGAAATATCGAGAACATTTAATATTATGATTTGATACGTGTACTTTTGAAACATAAATGGATTTAAATATCGAAAATGACATTTGAAATGTTGAGAACAGCATTTTAATGTAACTTCTCACGGAAGCTAGTTAGGGTACTTTCGTCCAAATAATTGCAAAAATGGACATAGAAAATTTTTGGACATTTTTATAAATGATTGTCAAAATGGATATTTTTTGTAATTTCCTCTTAAATAAAAAGTTTATTTTGAATATGTTTGAATAATTTTTTAATATTGCTTTGTTTCGTTAGAAAAGTTTTTAGAAGATGTTGAATTAAGATAACTTTCTTAAAAAAAATTCTTCTAGAAATAAAAATAGAAGCATTGCCTAACGTGTCATAAAATTGTACATTACCTGAATATTAATTAATGTGTATACTGTGAAGAAACAAATGTTAAACTACCAACCACCATAATTTATTAGGGTTTAGAGGGGAGTTGAGAGAGTTAATATAAAATATGCTATTGTGGCACTTCGCCAATTTTTATTTTTATTTTTATTTTTTTCTCAATGTAAAGAAATCTAAGAGTTTAAGCTCTCGAGAATACTTGTACAATTTTTTAACGAGGGATTTTTACATTTCTGTTGAATTATTATGAGTAATTATTATTGATTGTAACGCAAACTAGACATATAAAATTTCATGATCTTTTTACTTTTATTTTTATTTTTATTATAGAAAGAGTAAAATAAGAAAACTCAATCTGAAGAATTTAGATTTATATTACTAATATACCTTTAGATTTGGACCAACAAACTAGAAATCTATATACATTTCCTAGGTTCCTATCAAGTAGTTTTGGTTACTGGAACATTGTGTTGGTGCCTCATTTAGTTTGAACAATATTTCAAAATAAGTTGTAAAATCAATTTCCTCCCCAATAAAAAAATAAAATAAAAGACCATTGTGAGAAAAAAGAATTTTTTTCATTCCTGATATGAATTACAATTTTATTTGCTTAAAGGTGGGTCGATTTTCAACTAAGAGTTGTTTTTCTAGAAAAATAAGTGTTACTATCAAAGTAACTTCAAAAATTGTATCGACCAAAATATGTACCTTAAAAGTAAGTTCTACTTAATTCGAAATACAACCAAACATGTCTAACTTTTAATAAAAATGGGAAGGAGTGTCTACTATTCATGCAATAGTAAATGAATCTAATTTTACTATACATGATGTCATTTTTTTTTTCCATTTTGTTTATATCAAACAAATGTTTTCCCACACATCATTCCACTAGCATTAAAAAAATAATTATATCAAACAAATGTTCTTTCACACATCATGTCACTAGTATTAAAAAAATAATAATAATTTTAGTAAATATAAATTGTCATGAGTAAAAAAAAAAAAAAAAACACTCTTCGCACATGAGCTTTAAAAAACAAAAAAATAAACTCTCTGCACAGTGCGGAGAGATGACAAACCATATGTGGAGTAAAAAAGGAAGAAAAAACTTTTCGCATAATGCGGAGAGTTCCAACTCTCCTTACAGTGCGAATTAAAAAAAAATCTCTCCACACAGTGCGGAGAGATGACATTCTGTGCGAACACTGTCCTCACAAAGTGCGGACTCTCCGTACAGTGCAGAGTAAAAAAAAAACTTTACATAGTGCGGAGAGTTGGCAAACTCTCCGTACAGTGCGAAGTCAAAAAAAAAAACTCTCCGCACAGTGACTGTTACGTGCGTTGCACGAATTTCGCATTTATCATATTTTTATTAGTGTATAAATTTTAATCTTTTGGAAAGTTTTTGAAACAATATTTAGAAATATTTCCATGATATAAGAAAATAATTGTAAATTATTTTTACAATTGCATAACAGTATTGTGTCATCTAGAAAAAATATACTTGTATATTTCATACTTGAATAAGAAATATACAAGATTATACAAATTATTTTGATTGTATTCTTTGATAATGTTGATATGATTGGGTTGAATGTGAAAATTATATTTCTAAATTTGTGTAATTTAATATTGAAAAATTGAAGATTGAACACCATATTCATATGTATTTATATTTTGTGTTTCATATATATTTAATATTTATTTTATACTTATGTTGAAAAAATAAAAATCTGGGAATTTTTTTGAAATTCGGTTTGATAAGTGAATGTACGGCGTTCTGTATTCTCGGTATTTGTAAGTGAAAAAATCGGTATATAAAAATACAGTAAGCTGCAAATACGGTAGGCAATATATACGGTAAGTTGCAAATACGGTAGGTAGCATATACGGTAATGTGAAAATAAGGTAAGTTATTTGCAAATACGGTAGGCAGTATATACGGTAAGGTGAAAATACGGTAAGTTGTTTGCAAATACGGTATGTTGCAAATACGGTAAGCTGCATTTATGGATTTTTAATTTGTTATAAATGTATAAAATTTATTTAATATTGAATTTCTTAAGTATTAAATGTTGTAATTCAATATTGTTTCCTTTTTTATAATTGTATTTTCAAGAATTAAAAAAAAAAAAGTGGTTGTGAAACTTAAATGTGTTTTTCTGTTGAAGATAAAAACGATTTTTTTATGTTATTTGTTAAATAAAATTTATTGTAATTTTATTAGCATAATAAGAAGATTTATTATGCATTTTTTTTTTTTTTTGCATTTTGTGAAGAATTTTGTTTATAATGATTGACAAATATTCTTCCACACACGCATCATGCCAACAACATTAAAAAAATAATAATAATTTTAGTATATATAAATTTCATGAGACAAAAAAATCTCCACATGAGAAAAAAAAGACTCCGCAAGTGCAGAAAGATAGCAAACTATCTTTCCGCACAGTGTGAAGAGAAAAACAAAAACTCTCGGGATTTTATCTGCAAGTTCCACGAGGCATTTTCTCAAACAACTTTTGAGCAATGCATTGAATACTTTAATTCTTGCCCTACAAGTCGAAAGTATAATTTCATTGAAAATTGTATCCGCTTTTAATGTCCAAGAGCTGTTATCGAGCAAGTGTAAAATATTGAATTTGGGTGGTACCCTAGAGCCTCTAGTTGTGAAAGAAATGTTATAGTACTATCAATATCCCCTTCTTTGCATAACTCACATATTGTTTCATTGTATGAATCACAAGAAAGCTCTTTTCCAACACCATAAATATAATTTGTATGCTCAAAAATTGAGCTGTGACTGGAATTTAAAAAAGACATAATTAATTTTGAGCCATGTTTTTTGACTCTGTTTCATTGTATATACGAAAAATTTGACTTGTAATTAAGGAATTTGAAAACTCTCCGTGCGGAGAGTTTTTTTCTCTCTATACTGTGCGGAGAGCTGGTTTGTCCTCTTTCCGTATTTGTGCGAGAGTTTTTTTTGCTCTGCACTATACGAAGAGTTTGCCAACTCTCTATACATGGTTCAACTCTCTCTACACTGTACGGAGAGGGTTTTTTTTCTCTCCGTACTTTTTTTTTACTCCGCACATGGTTCAACTCTCTACGCACTGTGCAGAGAGTTTTTTTCTCTCCACACTGTGCGGAGAGTTTTGCCATGATGCGGATAAACTCTCCGCACACTGCAAAGAGTTTTTTTTTGCTCTCCGTACTGTGCAGAGAGTTGGTTTGTCATCTCTCCGCACTGAGCGGAGAGATTTTTTTTAATTTTTTTTTTACTCCGCACCCTGCGAAGAGTTTGTCAACTCTCCGCAAATGGTTCAACTCTCTCCGCACTGTGCGGAGATTTTTTTCTCTCCGTACCTTTTTTTGTTTTTTATTTTTACTCCGCACTGTGCGAAGAGTTTTTTTTTTCAATTTTACAATATTGAATTACACAAAATTTAGAAATATAATCTTCACATTCAATTCAATTATATCAACACTATCAAAGAATACAAGCAAAATAATTTGTATATTTCTTATTCAAATATGAAATATACAAGCATATTTTTTCTAGATAACATATTACTATACAATTGTAAAAATAATTTACAATTATTTTTTTGTATCATAGAAATATTTTTAGATATTTCTTCAAAAAATTTCCAAAAAACTAAAATTCATATACTAATAAAAATACGATAAATACAAAATTCGTGCAACGCACGTGATGGCGACTAGTTTTTATAAAATCCTAATGAAGCAT